GGGGGGGGGGGGGTGTCTCACTGTGGGGTGAAAAAAGTCAAGATGGTGCCCACAACTGTACAGTCAAAGCCCCACTGCATTTTTATGCGCATTGCAGCACACATAAGGAACGGGGCTTCAGTTGAGCAGTTCCAGCTGCCATCTTGACTTTTTGACCCCTCCGTGGACACCCCAGTCCAGTTACTTCCATGACCATCTCAAGGACTTGGTTTCTATTCTCCTGGCCATCTTTATTGCCCATCTTTGAATCTGTTCTAGTTTCTCTGAAGAGTGCAGTCCCCAGAACTGGAGACCCTAATCCAGCGGTCAGGAAGAGATGACTAAATGAGAACAAAATGAAACTGTTGCTTCCTCTGGTATGGAAACCAGGCTCCTACTGAGCCACCCAAAATCGCCTTTGCCTTTTCTGCAGCCAGAACACACTGCTGGCTTATCTTCATTTCTCAAGCAATGCTCTTTCAAGATCTTTTCCCAGCTGCTTTGGCCAGGGATCCTCCAACCTACCTCTGTGCATTTCATTTTGGCTTCCTAACTTTCAGCTGCATTCATGACATCACAGCATTGTTGCCATGCCCCCGTGCCTCAGAATAATTGTTTAAAAAAGAAAGAATCCACAAACAAGTTTTACTGTAAATCAGTTCACACATTGCCATCCAAGAGATGTTCACAACTAAAAGAATATCCTTTGCACTCTCTCTCTCTCTCTCTCTTAATTCAGTAGCCAACAAGGAAATAGTCTTTCAATCAAATGTCTTTAAATGTGAGGGAAACTCAACCTCTGATGGAGGAACTGGCAGGTTCCAAAGATGAGGGGCCACCCTGGAGAAGGCCCTGCGTGGACAGTCCTGACTACAAAGCTCATCTCTCCACCTTCTTCCAGGCAGGGTTCTTTTCTGGGACGAGGTCCGGCCGCCGCCATGAAGCCGATGTTCCCCACGGCCGCTGCCAAGGCTGCGGCAAGACGGCCTATACAGCTGGTTTCTTCCTTGGGAAGAAAGGAGAGGGGACCAGGGTCTCCAGACTGTGAGGTAAGGAAGCCCTGGTTTCAGGGGACATGGTTATGTGGGGACCGCAGTCCTGGCCCCTCTCCATACCGTGTGATTGACAGGGGGTAACCGTTGGATTTCCTCCCCCCTTTCCTATGCGCCAAGGGGACCTGCGTCTCCCACTTCGTGCCAGCTGCTGGAGCCAAGAGGTCTGTGCAGCAGATCCTCTCCCTGGATTGGATCTCTCTCTGAAGACCCGGTTTTGCCACCAAGCCTGGGCCCTGGTACTGCGGGTGGATCCGTTTCTTGGACGTCTCCTATGTTGCTCGGCTGCTATTTTTTGTGATGCGTGGTTTCGTTTCCTGCTTTGCTGTTTTAATTGTCAGCCACCAGAGTCATGCGCTTGAGATGGTTGGCCGTATAAATGTAATGAACGAACGAATATTTCCCGCTGTAAGAGCATAAGAACATGAGCCGTGCCCCGGCCCACCCAGTCCAGCCGTCGGTTCTCCCAGTGATCAACCCACTGCCCAGAGAAGCCCGCTGGTCTCCCAGCAGAAGGCTTTAGAGGCCGTCCTGCTGCCCCCAAGGCTGAGAGCCACGGATCCCCAGGTCTTCCATGAATGGGCCCCACCCTGTTCTGAAGCCAGCCAAGCTGGTAGCCACTGTCTCCTGCCTTGGCTTGGTCCTCCCCTCGCCCCCAGTCCCCCCTCTGCCACCAAAAGCAGCCTTGCTCTTCCGGGTCACTCATGGGAACGTCTGGGTAAAGACCACAAGCGGGCCCCTTTCCGGGGGGAGAGAGCAGGGAGGGTCTTTGAGCAAAGCCAGGGGCAGCGGTCATTCCAAGGGTGGTAAAGCGGAGAGGGGAGATACCCCTATCTTCTCATCCATCGAAGGGGGAGCTACCGTCCGCTTTCCCTTAAGCTGTCAGAGGAGAGAAATTCAGGCGTTACATTATGTCCGCTCCCGTGGACAGGTTTATATGACTGCCATCCCTTCTTGGAAGGGAGGGGACAATTCTCTATTTTTACACAGTACATACCCTGTGGGCAGGGGGGTGGGGGTTCAATTACACTGACCACCGGGGGGCAGTGCGGGACCGGCTTCGTCCTATCTGGGCGTCGTCAGGCGCAGGTGGGCAAGTGGCCGCCTTTAGCCTTCCCCACATCCTTGGGGCCAAAGAGCAGCTCAGAACCATGGGAACAGTTACCCCAAAGCAGACAACGGTGCAGCTGAGTGACCCTAACCCGAAAAAGGCATCAGGAGGGCCCGGCTGGAGTTACCTTCCGTTGGTGATTCTTCGGCTTCTCTCTCTAACAGTCGCTGGAATCTTTCCTGCTGCGGAGTTGAGAGGAAGAGACGGAGGGAATCAGGCGATGCTGCTGCTGCTGCTGCTGCTGCTGCTGCTGCTGCTGCTGCTGCTGCAAGATCACTGTGGGCACGGGGTCCATGCGCCCGCTTGGCCAAGTCCGATCTCCGGGAACCAGCCGCCCTCCGCAGCGCACAGCGCCACCCGAGATTCCCTCCGGGGCAGAAGCATCCCGTTAAAGGCTTCATCCTCATGTTCTCAGGGCTGTCTGCAGGGTGGGGTCAAAAGTCAAGATGGTGGCCACCACAGTGCAGTCAAAGCTCTGGACACTTCTTATGTGCATCGCCGCCATCTTGACTTTTTTGACCATGCCCTGCAGAACCCCTATCCATTCTCAAGGTGTGCTTCAAGACATTTTAAAACAAAAAAGTGTTTCTCTTAAACTTTTACAGGTTGTATCTGGCCACCTCTTAAAGTGGTGAGCTTTTGATTTTGCTGTTAAATAAAAAGCGTCAGTCCGCATTTATGAGTCGGTGTATTTGACGGGGGAAACCGGGAAGTGGAGACGGAGGGTGAAGGATCGGCTTGGAATCTGGGGAAATACAGAGAAAACGCGAGATGTCGGTGGGCCGCTTTTGAATTCCTCACCACCAGGATGGCAGCTAAGTTAGTGGGTAAAAGGTAAAAATAAAGCATCCCCTGAGTCAAGCTTGACTTTGTCCTTTCCTGGTGGTGCCCCATCCAAGTCCTAACTAGAACCAACCGTGCCTTGCTGGTCCAGATCAGCCACATGCTACCACCAAGCTTGCAGAACTCGTGTGTAGAGAAGAGCAAACTACAACCTCACATTAAAATAGAGGAACCTTCTCAGAGTTGCAGCAGGTTTGCAAATGTTTTTGCAAAATAAAGCGGCATCTTAAAGATTAATGCAGTTATTATTACATGGATGTTCATAAATCCTCATCTACTTCATCAGCCTCCCTGATGTTCGAGAGCAGGTCAGAACGACAGCAGGAGTGGAATCTGTTCAAGAGGGTTCAACTCAGCTGGCCCTGGCAAAGGGAGGCGGAAGAGAGCGGGCACCCTGGCCGCCCAGTAGCTCAGCTCAGGAAGGTGGCCTCCGCTGGGACCTTGGTGCAGAGGGGGCACAATGTGCCTCTGGAGAGCGAGGGTCCATAAGCCCACCCTCCAAAATCAGTCCTGCTCCTCCCTATCTTTGTGTATGCCTGGGTCCTCCTAGCAGAGGACCCCCTTCCGCTTCAGCCAGAGTCCGACAGCCGCTGGCAGTTGGCGAGGGAGCCCGCCAGCTGAAGCCCAGCATCCTGGCTCTGCTGCAAGTCCCCACGGAGAGGAAGTGCCCCTCCCCTCCCCTCCCCTCCCCTCCCCCCAGCTTCCGATGCCTTTCTCCCATTTCCAGCCGGCTTTTCTGCCCCAACATCTGCGGCATCTCCCTGGTGGAGCCCTGGAAGGTTCTCCGCGGGAGGGGAGGCCGGAAAAGGAGGGGCAGCCCAGCTGTGTCCCTCTGGCAGCAGCCATTTCGTCCTGGGGAAGATGCCGGGACTGTCCTCTTGGTCATGGGCCACTTAGGGTCATTTCAAGAAGCAACATTTGGGGGGGTGCAACCCACCTGTGGGGCACTTTCTGGGAGAAAGGCCAGCTCTGGCTCACCCTTGGCGGCTGGCGCTGATTTGGAGGGTCTCCTCTCTGTAGTCTGTTGCTTTTGGGCCACTGCCCCACGGAGCTTCCTACCGAGTCAGGCAGAAGAACACCCTCCTTCTCTGCTTCTTCCCCAAATCCCGTCTCGGAGCCCTCCTGCAGCCCGTTTTTTCCCTGGCGCAGGCCCACCTGCTGGAGCCAAACTCAAAGACTTGGCGCTGAAAGCAGGCCCTGTTCATTTGCCCTCGGCTGGGCCTCTCCGAAATTTGCTAATGTTTAACCATTGTGGTGGACGGGGTGGCTCCCAGCCTCTGTCCCTGTCCCTGTCCCTGAGGGGTGCTTCTGCAAGAAAGGCACTTCATCCCCACAGCGTGAGATGGCTCCCAGCTGCCGTGGGGCTTAGCTGTCCCCTTGTGCCCATTTGGAAAACTCACCTACTCCAGGATTGCTGCTAAGGAGACACAGGTGGGTACCACGTTCCATATGGGAGAAGAGTCGCAAAGTCTTTCTCATCCCACTGCCGGCTTTCAGTTTGGGGATGAAAATATGGGAAGCCCTATTCTGAGAATAGGATTCTCTTACCTCTGTTATTCGAGATAACTCTCTGTTTGAGTTTCTGAACAGAGGGTTTAGGAGCCTTCCGCCAAATCTCAGCTTTGTTTTCTTTGAAATGGGTGTGGTTTTCAAGGGAAATAAATGTCCACTTTCCCCTTCCAGGAAAATAAACAAGCAAGCAAATAAACAAAGGACTTTAAAATGTTTGTTCTAACGAAATTCCGTAGTGATACTTTGGCCAAGCTCTCATGTTGCATTAAACCAGTTTGTTCTACAGAGGCCCGGGCTTTCGACTGCTGCTGCTGCTGAACGCCAGGTCAGTCAATAATAAGGCCCCCCTTATTCACGATCTTATTGGGGAGGAGCAGGCTGACCTGGCGGGCATCACCGAGACCTGGCTGGCACCAGAGGGGGGAGTAGCCCTCTCGGAACTGTGTCCAGCCAGGTTCAGGGTGTGGCACCAGCCGAGACCCCAGGGCAGGGGAGGGGGAGGGGGAGTGGTCATCAGGGAATCCCTGCTGGCCTTCAGGGGCCCTGCTCCACAAGTTGCTGGATGTGAGACCCTGTTCCTGAGGTTGGGCACACGGGATCAGTTGGGAGTGCTACTATTGTACACCAGCCGAGACCCCAGGGCAGGGGAGGGGGAGGGGGAGTGGTCATCAGGGAATCCCTGCTGGCCTTCAGGGGCCCTGCTCCACAAGTTGCTGGATGTGAGACCCTGTTCCTGAGGTTGGGCACACGGGATCAGTTGGGAGTGCTACTATTGTACACCAGCCGAGACCCCAGGGCAGGGGAGGGGGAGGGGGAGTGGTCATCAGGGAATCCCTGCTGGCCTTCAGGGGCCCTGCTCCACAAGTTGCTGGATGTGAGACCCTGTTCCTGAGGTTGGGCACACGGGATCAGTTGGGAGTGCTACTATTGTACCAGCCTCCCTGCTGCACAGCAGCCTCCCTGCCTGAGCTGCTGGAGGCCATCTCGGGGTTGGCAGTGGAGTTCCCCAGACTTATGGTCCTGGGGGACTTTAATCTGCCATCCCTGGGGTTGGCCTCGGAGGCGGCTCGGGAGTTCATGGCTACCATGGCAGCCATGGGCCTATCCCAGGTCATCGATGGCCCGACCCGGGACAGTGGTCACACCCCAGATATGGTTTTCTTGTCGGAGCAGCGGCAGCGTGATCTGGTGGGGGATTTTATATTATCCCCCCTGTCATGGTCCGATCACTCCCTGGTGGCGGTGGGATTCTCCTATGCCGCCCCCCTCCGCAGGGAGGCGGGACCCATTCGAACGGTCCGCCCCTGGCGACTGATGGACCCGCACAGGTTCCAAAGGGAGCTGGGGGTTGTTCCCGAGGCCTTGCTGCACGGTCCAGTGGAGGCTCTGGCCGCAGCCTGGAACAAGGAGGCGGCCGGGGCCATGGACAGGATCGCGCCTGTGCGTCCTCTCTTGGCCCATCACCCCCGGTGCTCCCTGTGGTTCACGGAGGAGCTGAGGGAGTTGAAAAGGGCCAAGAGACGTCTAGAGCGCCGCTGGCGTAAAACTGGGGACGAATCAGACCGAATACGGGTTAGAGCTGCTATTAAGGCCTATCTAGTGGCGGTAAGGGCGGCGAAACGCCAACATTTCTCCGCTCTTATTGCATCCTCAGAGTGTCGCCCAGCAGCCCTGTTTAGGGTCACCCGGGCCCTCCTGGGAAAAGGGGGGGCGGAGGACTACTTGCAGGGTCGTGCAGAGGAATTTGGTGAACACCTGATGGACAAAATCGCTCAGATCCGCTCTCAGTTGGAAGCCAAGCGTGGAGCAGGTCCAGGGGAGTTGCCCAGGGAGCGTCCTTGCCCAGTTATCTGGGAACGGTTTGATCCTGTTGCCCCTGAGGAAGGGGACGGCGTCCTCGGGGCTGTCAGTGCGACCACCTGTGGTTTAGATCCTTGTCCCTCCTGGTTAGTTAAAGCTACCAAGGAGGTGACTTTAGGGTGGGTTCTGCCGGTGGTTAATTCATCCTTGCAGGAGGGGGTGTTTCCGAAGCCTTTTAAAGAGCCTTTGGTCCATCCACTCCTCAAGAAACCATTGCTAGACCCCACCCCTCCTGGACAATTTTCGTCCAGTCTCCCACCTTCCCTTTTT